AGTTTCCTAATGACCCTTTCCATTCAATTCACCTTCTCGCTTCCCCCTTCCTCATGGACACAACTACTGTCCTGAATTCTATCACCATGTCTTAATTCTGCCTGTTCTTCAACTTCATATGAATAGAATCACAGAATGTGTGCTCTTTTGTGTTTGGTTGTTCCTTTTGCTAACACAATGTTTTGGGGTTTTTTTTAAGATTCTATTTATTTATTTGACAGAGAGAGAGACACAGCGAGAGAGGGAACACAAGCAGGGGGAGTGGGAGAGGGAGAAGCAGGCTTCCCGCCAAGCGGGGAGCCCGATGAGGGGCTCGATCCCAGGACCCTGGGATCATGACCTGAGCCGAAGGCAGATGCTTAATGACTGAGCCACCCAGGTGCCCCACTAACACAATGTTTTTGAACTTCATCCATAATGGTAGGTGTATCAATAGTCTGTTTCCTTTTATTGCTGTATAATAGTCTATTACATAAATATATATCACAATTTGGTTATACATTCTCTTGTTGATTGACATTTGGGTTATTTCCAGTTTTTGGCTATTAGCAAAAAGGCTGACACGGATATTCCTGTACAAGTCTTTTTATGGACATATGTTTAATTTCTCTTAGGTAAATACTTAAAACTGGAATTTTAGGGTCACAGGTTAAGTGTATGTTTAATTTTATAAGAAACTGCTAAACAGCTCTTTAAAATGGTTGTTCCATTTAAACTCTCCATCTATCACTCTTTAAGTGTTAGAATTTATAGACTCTGAAATTCTTTTAAGTATTTTGATTTTGATCATTCCAAATGATCAACACATTTTTAAAAATTTTAACTTACTATAAGCATTTTTAAAAATATATCATATGAACATAAAAAAATATCATATGTACTACTGTTTGAGCTACTCAATTTAGATGTTTTATGGATAATATAATGCTTTTAAAAAAGAAAACACTTGAAGATTTAGTAAAAACTACAAAGGATCTTATAAGAGCTCAGATACAGAATTCTTAATCTCAGCACCGGAAGAAGGAATGGGAAATAAACAAAGAGGTCAATTTGAGTCTGGTATGGAGCATCTGAAGAAGGACCTCAGGAGGTATTTGTTTGGTAAGAAAACTATGTTTAGGATGTTTGGCATGAAAATACAGTTTATCTTCAGTTCTTGTTTTGTTCAACTTTACACTTCACCACTACTTTCTACTTTTGAAGTGTTGAGATACTTACTTGCAGGGATGGGCTAAGACAGTCTCGTAGTATTTCCTGATGATTCGGTTCACGAACTATTTCGAAAATTTGCTTTCTCTCTTGAGAAGAGTGCGCTGGTGACAAAATGTGCACTAGGAGTCTGCCAAGCTGCATTCGGAAGGTTTCCTTACAAGACCATAAGATTTTAGGCCACTGCTGCTTGGAACCACTGGTTTTACTTGAACCCTTCAATCAGAACAGGAATGAATTAGGATCCGACTTCTCAAGCAATAATACACTAACCTCTCTATACAGCCCCAAAGAAGATCACGGGACATGTTTTATTGTAGATTGTTTTTTTAGTAGTAGAAATTAGAATGGTTAAATTAGGGTGGTTAAAAAAGATAGACATACACCAACGTTGATAGCAGCATTGTTCAAAATAGCCAAGAGGTTGAAACAATCCAAATGTCCACTGATGGATGAATGGATAAACAAATGTAGTATATACATAGAATGGAATATTGTTCAGCCTTTAAAAGGAATGAAGTTCTGATACATGCTTTAACATGGATGAACTTGAAAATATCACGCTAAATGAAACAAGCCACATAAAAAAGGACAAATCTTGTAGGAAATACTGTATTGTATAACTTATATAAGGTATCTAGAAAGTTAAATTCATAGAGACAGAAAGTAGAATAGTGGTTATCAGGGGCTTGGGGAGGGGGGTATGAGGAGTTACTATTTATTGGGTACAGAGCAGTTTAGGATAATGAAGAAGCTCTGGAGATGGAGAGTGGTAATGGTTGCACAACAATGTGAATGTACTTGGTACCACTGAATTATGCCTTTAAGATGGTTAAAATAGTGCATTTTATATTACATGTATTGTACCACACAAAAAAAGAGAGATGGGTTAAGAAGCTAAGGTCACTTAAATTACCTAGGGCTTAGAAATTTTAAACCAAAAAAAAAAAAAAATCATAAAAAAACAACGGTAGATTGACTGATTTTACAATATAAAAGAGAAGGAATCATAATAAAGAATTAATGTTAAAATATGGAGTATAACAGTCACAAAATAAGAACTGCATATAAACTGACCACCAACATTCCTTAATAAGTAACCAAATAAGCTGCTTCAACTGTGGTCCAACTAAGGCTAACTCAATCTTGATCAAATATCCTGTATCTGGTTTAAAACTGGAATCAATACATTTTAGAATTTATTCTGAGTTTTGGAAATGGCTCTCCACATTACCACCAGTCCTAAGGGCCCTGTGTAAATCATTCAGCTCTAAGTAAAACCTACAGACACCAAAATCTAGTTTAGCTTTAGAGATTGGCAGAATCGTGATTCATGAGTTCTGCTAGAATTAGATTGACTTTTGGTATCTATGAAGTGTGCTGAGTGATTTGTTCCATAGGGTCAACTGTATATGATCCACAGAAATCCAAGTACATCAGTGATTAATGGAGCCTGATACTTGGTAGTATTCTCTATATAATTTTGAAGGTGTTAGATATGTTTATAATAATTAATAATAATAATAATAATTCAAGAGTAAGTAGACACATAAAACCCTACTCCTTTTGTGTGAATGAATATGTCCCATGCAATTAATTTACTTACAATATATACTTTGAATCCTTCTACCAGATATGTGAGTATCTCCTTCTGAAATGGATTGAAAATGGAAGTCTGTTCATGATGAACATCTTCAGAAATTTCAGTCTGGGAAACTGAGATCTTGCTTTGAGTTGCATTTTCTGGAGTACTCAAAACGTCAATAATATCTGGATTAAACTCTTTGAATTAAAAGAAGAATAAACAATTAGTCACATCACTGATGCCTAGCCATTACAAACGGTAATGAAGCTGGTAAAAATATTCTATGTAATTGTTAATTCAGTTGTCACAATATAAATGTGTAGCAAATGTATTAGATGTAGACGATAACAATTTAACAGAGAAAGTAAATTCACCCAAAACAATGTAGCAATTTAAACATATATGTCATATAATTCTAAACTAAATATTTTATTAATGAAGATGAGTTAAATTGCAAAATTATTAGTCATGAGGTTCTTGTGCAAATCAAACATAAAGACCACATGATATTTACATTAGGTGGGTATGCAGAGCTGTTTTAATGCATGTGCTATCCCATTAAATCTGCATGTGATAAATGATTCAATTTCAGAGTTTAGCCTGGGATCTGGTTGACCCAAACACAAATTAGAAAAGTTAAAAATATGAGCCTTGGTTGTATTATGCATTTCTAATGATTAACAATTACTGTTTTCTTTTTCCTATTTTCTTGGGGTTACTTGAACATTTATTGGGAATTCCATTTTGACTTATCTATAGTGCTTTTTTTAAAAAAAGATTTTATTTATTTATTTGACAGAGCAAGAGAGGGAGAACACAAGCAGGGGGAGCGGCAGGCAGAGGGAGAGGGAGAAGCAGACTCCTTGCTGAGCCAGGAGCCCGATGTGGGGCTCAATCCCAGGACCCTGGGATCATGACCTAAGCCGAAGGCAGACGCTCAACCATCTGAGCCACCCAGGTGCCCCCTTTAAGGAGAGTTTTAAAGGGGGAAAATGGCATCTTTTGGATCCAGAAAAACGTTGGCTTATATATCAACTATTAAATTCCTTGGTTGCTAAAACGAGACATCTTGAAAAATAATGTAACCATACTTTTACTAGCTGGGATAAGTACTGTGGCAATTGCTAGATAAATCATATGAAAGAATACCTACCCAATTTTGGGGGCTATATTAAATATTTTCATGATTTTTTTCATATTATCTGTTTCACAACAAAATTTTATATTTTAGCTCATTTGTTTTTGAAATCAGCTATGTATTCATTATTAAACGACATGTAATCTTATTTAGTATATCCTTAGCAATTCCTGGTTTTAGAACTTTCTAAAACAAAAAACCTTATTTCTCTTATAGGGATCTCAAAACAATATTTTAATGATACAAGCTAATTCAGATGGACAAAAAGTTTTGCGATACAAAAGATGTGAATTAAGAGTCACTTTTGTTATTTTCTGATTAATATCAGTACTTCCAGTAGAATAAAAATTATGGTACTAAGGTATGTGAATATCAGGATTACTTAAGTTATTCTATTACACAACATTTTCCTTTCTTTGTGAAGGTAAGTGTACCTGATAGTGAACTGGGAGTGGTTAAGAAGTAGTTATTTGTTGCCACTGAGGAATAGTGATAAAAAGAATAAATTAAATAAATTAACATAACAGGAGCACTTTTCTTTCATTTTTTCATTTTTATATTTTTTAAAGTTTTAATTTTAATTCTAGTTAGTTAACATACTGTGTTACACATGTTATAGGTGTACAATATAATGATTCAGCAGTTCCCTACATCACCCAGTGCTCATCACAAGTGCCCTCCTTAATCCCCATCACCTATTTAACCCATCCTCTACCCACCTGCCCTCTGGCAACCAACAGTTTGTTCTCTATAATTAAGAGTCTGTTTCTTACTTTCTCTCTCTCTCTCTTACTTTTTTCCCCTTTGCTTGTTTGCTTTAACAGGAGCACTTTGGAATTTGACTCATAATACTAACTGTTAGGAGATCAGACTGTAAGACAGAGGAGATGGTAGGGTCTTCTTTTTAAAAGTATCTTTAAAAGAAAAAGTTTGGAATTAAGACCAATCTATACACAGAATGACAATACATGAACTCTTTTAGTTCTACCTGCTCTCTGGGTAACTAAAGTTATACATTTTTGGAATTTGTCTAGATTTATGTAAGTGCAAACTTAAGCCTCTACTCACCGAACTTTCAACTGTATCAGAAGCATTATCTTCCACAAAATACATTCCACATTTACCTATAGAAAGTAACTGGATATGAGTTTAAAAATATATGTGCACTATTACCATATGTGATTACAAATATGACCTCTGGAGTCAGTTGGCCTGAATTTAAATCCCAGCACCCAGAAACAGTTCCTGTCACTCAATAAATATTTTTTAATAGTATCCATGAGATCTTGGGCAAGTTGCTTCTTTGTGTCTTAATCTCCTTAATAAAAAAAGGGGTGGAGGGAGGACTTTATTTCACAGGGTTACTGTGGGAATTGAATTAGAATATATGTAAAATGCTTATTACTAGCACCTGGCACTCAGTGCTAAAAAAAAGCTGGCTATTTATTGTTACCTATACTCTTCTTATATTACTAGCATATTAATTTGCTTTATTTTTTCACATATTAGCTGAAGTCAACTTGTAAACAAATTTTCTAGCAAAAGAGGAATCCTTAATTATTTTTATTTAAACACTCTATAGAGCAGAGTAGACCTTAAAAGATAGCCCCCAATTTCTCCTACTTTATAGGCTGGCTGTGTTAACACATGTCTCTACACCATGTATCTAAATGGTAGGAGTTTCTCTGGGGCTCTGCACTGCATGCTGGTCAGCCTTGAACACTGAGCACTGTTGGCTCAGAGAAAGGTACTCTCTCCATCCTCATGACTATGGGGCTCAGTCCTGACAAGTTTGAAGCTCTGCATCTTGAGCCTTGGAGGCTGTAGGTTTAGCCTATAGCAGGGACTCTCAAATTTGAGGGTGCATCAGAATTGCTGGAGGGCTCACCGAAATGCAGATTGCTGGGTCCCATCCTACGGAGTTTCAGACTCAATAGGTCTGGGCTGTAGCCCAAGAATGTGCATTTCTAAGTAGTTCCCATGTGATGCTGAAGCTCTGGATCTGGGGACCATGCTTCAAGAAGAACTGGCCTACAGCATACAAATTGGTTCTTTAAGGGAACAGAGACCAAGTGGTGCAACCTTATTCCTTCATATCTTGAGGAAAAAATTTCTCACTAAATGTAACTATATGGATATGCAGGGATGGACAGCCTTGGCCTTTCTCTCAGAAGCACAACAGGGAATATAAATTATGAACTATCTCAAGGTGGATATATTTCTTAGTATCCCAGTAATTCTTCACTTTAAAATTCAAAATTGATATAGAGTAAAAGGAATGATTAAATATAAAAATGTATACTTATGAGGAAAGTCAACTTTATAAAAACTAAAATGCTATTCATGTGCTTTTTAGAAAATAAGACTGTCATTTCTTCACATTTGTGAGTCATAAGCGCTATATACAACGTTAGGGCAAAATCACCTATGTTGTGTTAGAGAAAGTTCATCTGATTTAATGGTATTACATCCAACAATCCTTCAAATTATCTAAGAATAAAGTAGGACAGGGTGAGTCTGTGTAAAACTCTTCAAAATGTGACTTACCTAATAACAATTCACCAGCTGTCTCTCTAGATGGTGCAACGCTGATACATCTTCGATTCACTCTGTCAAAACATATTTAAAATCACTATGATTAAATGTTTTGACCACTTTTAGAGAGTACAGTATAAGCTTTCTTTATCTAGTAAAAGATTTTAGCACAGCAGACTAGAGTTTCGAAAGTATGAGATGTCTTGTCTAAATCCACATGAAAGTATTATCTCAAGTTTTAATGCTCTAGTAGAGGAGAAAATAAAATTTTTAGAGAAGGCTCATACCTCCTATGCCATGTATATAGAATATAGGGATTCAATTTTTTAAAAGAAACTTCAGTATTTCATATTTTCTAGTAATTAAGCAAACATTGGATCATGCCTCTGGTATTTTCAAAGACCTGAAAGAATCCTTGTATTCCAGGAAGAACAGGGGATTTAGACTCAGAAAAGATCTACTCTTTTGTCAAGTCACTCACCTTCTTCAAGTCTCAGTTTTTCACCTATTAAATGGGCATGATAATAACTGCCACCACCATAACAATGATAATACTATCAATAGCTATTTGATACTCAACCATATGCTGATACTTTGGGTATTATTATCTTCCTCGTGTCACAGATACGGACACTGACACAGAGAGGCTAAGTAACTTGCCCAAGATCAGATAGCTAGTAAGACGAGGAACTAAAATATGAACCTTTAATCACTGCACTAGATTGCTTCTGGCAGACACGACCAGCGGTGCTATCTGTTCCACAAACTACAAAAATAGATGCATGCAGATAAGGGCCAGAGCACGATGCCTGAAGCCCAGTGGATCCTCGCTATCAAAAATGTCTTTTCCTTTTGGATTTTGGTCATTCAACCTTGTCCTCTCTTGAGCCATGTGTAGGACCTTTCCTAAAACCATAGCATTATCTGAAATAAATATTACATAAACACTACAATAAACTAGTAAACTCTTAACTCCTTCAACAAAAGTGAGAACATCTTACGGATTCACACTTACCTTATAGACTCACTTGCAGCTTTGTCTTTTACAGTCGAAGAGAAAGAAGAATGGGTTTTATCTTCAAATAGGAAAGAGAGTGGTGGTTTGACCACATCTGTTGAGGAAAAAATATATATTGTCTTTCTGTAATGATCACAGTTATGTGCTACATTTGTATGTTGCATCAAGAAGTCATTATTACCTTCTGATTTCTGTCTATCCCAAAGGAGATACTTATTTGGAATAGTTAAGTAACATCTCTGTAAACGTCTCCTCTCTCGATTTGGCCCTTCTGTTGGATCCAACTGCCATGAAGTTGGATAGTAGAGGGGGTCATACCAGGCTGCTCTGCAAGTGAAAATAAAAGAATGTTTTAAGGGGCAATCTGTAGTACTTATAACTTTAAATAAAATCATTATAGAACTTGAATAAGGAAATCAAAATCGATCTATTCAATTAAAAAGCCCCAACTGCTTATGTAATTGGACTAGGGAATGCATACACATAGTACAATAAAATAAGATAAAAAATAAGTGTCCAGGGGCGCCTGGGTGGCTCAGTTGGTTAAGCAACTGCCTTCGGCTCAGGTCATGATCCCGGAGTCCTGGGATCGAGTCCCACATCGGGCTCCCGGCTCAGTGGGGAACCTGCTTCTCCCTCTGACCCTCTCCCCTCTCATGCTGTTTTTCCCTCTCTCTCTCTCTCAAATAAATAAATAAAATCTTAAAAAAAAAAATAAGTGTCCATCTGCTCCTGAACCCCAGTCTTCTGGTTCCCTGCCTGGAGGCATGCTCTGCCACCAGTTTCTTGTATCTACTAAATTTTTAAAAAGATATATCATGACTACTCTGAATGCTTTAGCAACATGTACTACTCTGAATGCTTTAGCAACATGTATGCTTTAGCAATACATTGATTGGACTTAGTATGGCCTGATAAAGAAAAAAATCCACTTTCCAAGTTAAGTTTCTATATTTCTCATCTTGTCTACTATTTAATGTAATAAATAAAATTAGTTCATTTTTGTAGTACCAGCCACATTTCTTAAAATGTTTTAAATTAAGTTCATATTTTATTTTATTTTTTTTAGAAGATTTTATTTATTTATTTGAGCGAGCGAGAGAGAGAACAATCAAGGAAAGGGAGAGGGAAAAGCAGACACTCCGCTGAGCAGGGAGCCCGATGTGGGGCTTGATCCCAGGACCCTGTGATCATGACCTGGGCCGAAGGCAGACGCTTAACCAACTGAGCCACCCAGGCGCCCCAAAAACAAGTTCATATTTTAAATGAAAGAAAACAGTAGAACTACATTGAATATATTTTTAGAAATAGATAAGAGAAAAAAAAAACCACCCTGAATCCTACTACTCTAAACATACCAATTACTGGTAGAGATTATTTTCTTTCATTTTTTAAAACTGTAGTTATAATTATTATGTATAAACATTTCTATATCCTTTCTTCTTTCACTGGACATATTTTAATCTTTATTATCATCACTGAAAATGGCTGACTAATGCGCTGTGTGGGAACATTATAATGTATTTAACCCTATTACCATTATTATATATTTGTTTTCAGTTCATTCACTAGTATAAATAATGCAGAGATGAAAACCTTTATGTTTATTGCCTTTCTATATTTGGAACATTTTCCTTAGGAGAGAATCACTAAAATAGGATAACTGGAGCTAGAAATAAAATGTTTATAGGATTCCTGACATATGCTGTCAGAGCATACAATGCCATCGAACCTCTGACCATGGACTAGGTTACATTTCTTCCTGCTGTGGGTATGTATAATATAAAAGGCAAAATATGGTATTTAAAGGTTTTAAAAAATCAAATTAGACTCTATCCATATTGAATATTTTCCTGTTTATTAATTTATCTGTCTTATGTGGAAGAGTGTATTCATATCGTTTGCTCAAACTTTTGGGATCTTACATTTTACTTTTAAGTTGGCATGACTTTTTGCTATATTTGCTGAAAATAAATTTTCATGTTTTGTTGTTGTTATAGTTGTTAAATACACTGGAAAAAATTACAGCTCAAATCCATTTATTTCTTCTTGGAAGTTTCTTCTATGGTGTTTGAGCTTAGAAAGTTAACCATCTATCACAGAGTTGATAAATACCCTGTTTTCTCCTCTACTTTATAAACTTTATGAGTTTAATTCTTTTGTTCACCTGGAATTTCCTTTAGTGTCTAATGTTTAGTGCATTTTATCACCCCCAAGTCATGCTAATCAGTTCTCTTAACCAAATTTAGAGAATAATACCTTAATTTTCCTCTTTTCATTATCTGTGATGCATCCTTTAAATTTTATTATTAAAGTCTTATCTTGAAAAAGATCTATTTCCCAACTATCCTGTTTCAGTGATTTCTCTATTCTTCTGCAAAGATTATATTTTAAAATTAAAGCCAATATATAGATTTTATTATTTGGAAGAGCTAATGCCTCTCTTTCTCATTATTCCCTCCCTTACCCCCAAGAGTTTAAAAAAAGATTCTTATAGGATTATTGAAGATGAAATAAATCACAAGTGATTAAACAACAAATATTTGAACTAATGAAATAACGTTATGAATCTTTATTATGAAATGGAAATAGTGTTTCACATTAAAATATTAAACAGTAATGCTGGACAACCTGAAATGTCCTCCCACTTTGCTTACCTATCATGCGTCAACTGTTGAATAAGTTCCTGCCAGTGTCTACTGGCACTCAGATCTACTTTATACATTCCTCTGATATGTTGGATCACCTTTTTTCTCTCAATTCCTTGGGAGAGAGACACTGCCTGGGTGATGTCTGCAGCGATTTTAGATATATCCTTTGATTTTGAGTCCAGACGCTGAAAGAGACTAAGTCAACAAACAAGATGGCCCATAAGTTAAGCCTAAGTGGGCTGTTAAACAGATACAAAAGCATGATACTGTAAAACTAAAAGTATGTGTGAAGTCGAATGAATTAAAAAAGGCATGATTTTTAGAATATATAAAAACCTACCTTTGTTGATTATTATTAACCGTTTTCTGCCAGGTGGCTTTATTCGTACCTTCTTCAGTTTCATATTTCTTTTGTTCCTAAAAGATTTGGATAATAATATGTAGTATAAAACACATTATTTATCATTTAACATTGGCACTGAGGCCAACAAACTAACTTTAAAACCAAGTTAACAAAGGAAAAAAATACTGTCCCCAAGACACCAGAATGTTAAAATACAATAACCACTTAAATAATGTTATAATTCCCCTTTGTTTGTACAGAGTTTGGGGCACAGAAGTGAGGGGAGAATAGTTAACTGGGGTGGCAAACCTAAGGGGTTTGCATAATCGCTTGCTTCCTTATTTTGCTTCAAGGCTGATGCTTCAACTTGTTTGTCACTATAAAAATCTGGCCTTCACTGAAAGCTACTGATAACAGATAAGGATGACAATAATGAATAAAATGCTCTTACAATAAGCCTATTTGTTCTCTCATAGTAAAAAAGCAATATAAAGTAAAAAAAAAAATCATTTCAAATTTATCATCGATGATATTCTATAATAAAAAGATTTCTTTCAATCATTCTTTAATTACATTCAGTGGGATCTCCTAAGAAAACTGTGTCTTATGATTTCACTGACTCACCTCTTTGATCATTTTAATAAGGTCTGCTTTTGTTGTTGCACTGGGAGGGACGCACTTCTGCCCACATAGTTTTAAAGCACTCATGAGCAGTTCCGCTGTGTCTAGTTCTTCCTCAGTCAATTCGTCTTGGTGATTATGTATCAGCTCTGACAAATACAAAACTAACTTGGCTCCATGCTTTAAGAAAAAGAAACAATTTTTTGTGTAAGACTGTTGAATCACAGACCTGTACCTCTGAAACAAATAATACATTATATGTTAAAAAAAAAAAAGAAGAAGA